GTTTGAATCGAATTGGGATCTAAATCAAGAGAGTTATGGCCAAACTACACATGGTTGGTCCCTCAGACCACCAAAGCAAACTTGTATGAAAAGTTTATGAACCCCCATAAGTAAATACATGATAAAAAACTTCTGAAAAGTTAGTGACACACTGAGACTAAGGTATTTGATAGATTTGAAGAAAAATAATAAAAGGATATTATGCATGATCATAGATTCTCATGCATATGGGCTATAACTCATGAAAGGCCACACTATGAATAAGTATGATGAAAAAGATGATTAAATGAGGATTCTAAGATCAATAAAACTTCCATAAATTCAAAGCAACTATAGATGCTAGGAACATGAACTTATGAGAGGAAAAAGTTCAATGGAGTTTACCTTGATGAATGCACACCATGGACTCAAACATGAGAAAGGAGGACCACCATCAAGATCACTAAATTCATCAATAGAACTCTAAAAGCTTTTGTAGAAAACATAAGGTCTCTCTCTCTCTCATCAATTTTCTCTCACAGAGCTCTAGAAAAGGGGGGGGGCATGAATATTCCAAATTAGTTCCAGTGTTGAGTTAGTTAGGGTTTGAGATCTTATGATGTGCTTTTATAACATGGGTAACCTTAGATTCAATCAACACCCTTGCAGCACTAATCCAAAGGCACATGAGAGGCTAATATACCTAGCCACCCACCCATCCCCATCCAACCACTAGGATGAAGGGATGGGATTTCACACTATTATCACTCGCACTAACCCTAAGTTGTGCGACTTTACCATTTTGTCTTTGACCCATGTTTTTATTCGAATCCAATATGGTCTTACAAATACACCCTTAGTTTTTAAATAATATATGAGAGTAGAGAACTACCAAGGGTAATGGGCAAAGAAATAATTGGCAAAGCTCACACATATGAAGAGATTCTACTTTAACAAAGCCAACCAATTCAAACCAACCAATTCAAAGATAATGGCCCCTTCACACGTGTGAAGATATTTTTTCAACTCAAATTTGAAAATCTATTTTCTCTTTAATATTATTAAGCAGTTGAATTAAACTTCACACATGCCATGCATGGCTATGTGTGAGTTAATTAAAACATGTGATAAAAATGGGCCCTTAAGTTATAATTCTATATAACAATATATAACAAGACACCAAAACACAGTCCCTTATAAAATAAACAACCAAATGCCCAACTAGTCCCCTCCCCCTAGGGATCAATGTCCAGCTAGGCAGTGATCTTAGGGTGGGGCATGGGGTGCCACATGGCAGTCTTATGGCCACTCAGACGCCATGTGGCACTTCCAGGTCAGGATTGAAGTGGAATTTGAGTCAAACAATTCGAAAAACCTCATTTTGAAGCAAATAAAAATTTTGAAAAATTCTCAAAAATTCACAATAAATATTTAAAGTATTTGCGAGCAATTATTGGGTTTTTCTCATCATTATAACATGGAACAAAAGGTACAGTGAGATCTCAGGCTTATAATTGTAGGTATTGGAGTACTCTATTGGGCTAGTCCCGAATGATGTTCCGCCAAGTCTTAGATCGACCCAATGGACCTATGTTCCACAGTCTAAAGCAATGACACAATTGGCCACATCCAGCTCTAAAAATGGATTACAAGTGTACCCTTGTGGGACATGATCTAATTCAATTACAGGGGTCAAAGCACATGTGCACTGACTTTTCCAAACTCGGATAATGCATTTGGAAGATTGGTTTCTCCTACGAAATGAAAATGCACATATCATGGAATGGTTTCGTGTTAGGATACAGATTTATGTCTCATAAATCTTGACCATTCCATATAAGGTGAATACTCAATAAGTACTTAGGTTCTATTTTTCTCGTTTGGATTCTCTAAGCCCTAGCCAATTGTAGCTAAACATGATGCTAACCTATAAAATCCTGACTAGGAGGTAACCCTCACACCTTGAGAAATTGCTTTCTCAATACATGAACTCTCGATGCCTCATACGTACTCAGGGTAAAAGAATATGGGCCCCATTTCGCAAGGTGCTCAGATTTCAAACTGTCAATCGCTCCCACCGAATGAGAGTACTGGAATTTAGGCCTTGAAAGGCCATATTTCCAGCAGTTCATATCTCCAAACGGCATCAACACAAAGTTAAAACTTTGGAGGGATGCTTTAAAATCTAAAGGTTTTAAAATTAGTCGGACTAAGACAGAGTCTATGGAGTGCAAAATTAGTAATAATATGAGTAGAGACGAGGAAGTAGTTAAGATGGACGACAAGGAAGCACAAAAAAGACCACACTTTCGATTTCTTGGGTCGATAATTCAGGAAAATGGAGAGAGCGAAGAGCATGTTGCACACATAACTAGAGCTGGGTGGGCGAAGTGAGAGATGTGCAACTGGAACTTTATGTGATTGCCGCATACCAATTAGGCTAAAGGGCAAATTCTATAGGACAACGGTGAGACCAGCTTTGCTTTTTGGGCCGAAATGTTGGGCGGACAAAAAACAATATACCCATAGAATTAGTGTAATAGAGATGGGGATGTTGAGATGGATGAGTGGCAAGACAAGAAGGGATAGAATTCGCAATAAATCTATTTGAGAGAATTTGGGCGTGGCACCAATAGGCAATAAAATGAGAGAGAGTAGACTTAGATGGGTTGGCAATGTGCTTTGCCTACCAAGTACAACACCTGTTAGAAGGTGTGAATTAGTTCAAGTGAAAGGACTGAAGAGGGCAAGGGGTAGGCCCAAAAGGATGTGGTTCAAAGTAGTTCGAAAAGATATGGGAATTTATGGCCTCACTGAGAATATGGCCTTTAACAGAGCGGAATGGAGAACCAGGATTCTTATAGCCAACCCCAATTGATTGGGAAAAGACTAAAATGATGATGACCATGCTCTTGTCCATCTTGACCTAACGCAATCCAACAGTCTTCACAAAGACAACACGGTTTACCAATAAAACATTGACCGTGTTACCATTCTTAAGGCTTGGTTCTCCTTTGTCCCTCCAAGTGTTTGATTGGGTGGCCATTTTAAACAAAACCACTCACCATAGATCACCCCAAAAAACTAAGGAGTTCAACTGGCAGATAGATGCAATGTGTTCAATGCCGAAGTGGAGTTCATTTCTCACTTTTTCGTGCATTGCACTATGTCTTTAGCTGTCTGGTCGTTCTTTCTACAACTATTAGACTTGTTATGGACCACCTCACCCATTGTTGAGAGCCTATTCCTACAATGACCTGTCGGGCCTCATAATCTGACGCTTAACCAGTGTTTCAAAAAGTGGACCGCCCAGAGCCTGGGCAGCTTCCTAGGCGGTTTTGGGGGCCTAGGCGCCCAAGAAAAGTGGATATCCCTAGGCACACGCCTAGGCGCCCTAGATCCCCCCGACCGCCTAGCGCTTAACCATACTAGCTGTCATTTGGTTCTTTGTGGTTGGACCGCATTGAAGAAGTTTTGAGGGCAACCAATCCTGACCTCGACACTCATTGATCGCAATGAAACAACGATTATCTATGGGCACTCTCTCGTAAAGAATTCAGGTCCTTCTCGACCATTGATGTTGTTATCCAATGGCGACAACTTGGTACCAAGATCCTCACAGTGGCCGCCACCTGAATGGGCAATCTTTTAGTTGACAGATCTCATTATCAAAAAAAAAAATCTGATGGCAGATCCCTTGAGACCCTGACACTTCAGGTATTTTGGTTTTTTCTTCTTTTTGTTGTGTGTGTGTGTGTGTGTGTAAGGGGGGTGGGGGGGCGAGTGGGGATGCGCGGGATGGGGGGTCGGGGGCTTTTCTCGTGTCACACTCTGGCAAGATTTTAACGACTCACTCCAGGCCAGTTGTTAATGGATGTGTCCCATGCTATATCCTTTTCACTACTGGTGTGTGCAAGTCTTCATTACAAGCTGGACCACTTATCATCGAAGGAGACTCCCAAAATGCATGATCTAATTAGCCAACAAATCCTCTATTGCCCATGGATGCTCGAAACTTTGGTTGACCAGGTGTTTCAATTTGAAGGGCTCATGGTTTCATTTAGACACACCTGGTGTGAATCTAACTCGTTGGCCAGCTGGCTAGCAAGAGAAGGTTGGCTCGCACATCCCTCGCTGTGAACTGCACTTTACTTCCCCTCCATAGGCTTTTTTTTGGCCTCGATTTTGTGCAGCCTAGCGTCGTGCCTGGCTGCAGGCCATTGTCATTTCAAATTTTTTACTCTCCTTTCATATTTTACTGCCAACTGTTCTCATTTTTTTGGGGTAATTAACTCTTCTCATTCATTCATGAAGTTAGCTATATAAAAAAGTAAAATTTATTGATTATATCAGTAAGTATATCTTGTTCCAAATCGCAAACAATGCTGCAACTGCTCAAAAAGGTCCCACCGTTGTTTTGTGGAACATGTTTGGCCTGCTCACATCTGGTTCATGGCAAGGATAATGATTTGAATCCCTTTGAAACTATCATCATTTTCATTTAAGTGCAGTCGGTGTCCCAACATGTGGAACTTTGTATTTTGTGATGTTTGAGGGCATCTCTTTCAAGCTATCTTTGCGTGTTTTGATCTCAAATTCATTCCCATTTATGCATGAAACCTTTCATTACAGCTGCATTGGTAAATCAGGGAGCTGTATGTAAAAGTTCATATGATAAAATTGATTCCAAGCCCATTACATATCTGGCATTTAGTCGTGTTTTTCTACAACTAATGAAATTTAAGTTCATTATGAAATTTGGCAAATAGTTTGCATTTTATACAATGAAATGAATTCACCACAATCTTTTGCGCATTAGATCCCGAATTGGACTTTTGATGTCTGACTCTCTTGATCTATTCTCCTTAAGGATTCGTAAATCTTATTTTGTTGTTTAGTTTTGTTGCTGCACCTTCCTGCATTGTTTGTTACAACTAGATTCATCAAAATATTTGCAATTGGCAGTTGTTTGAGATGCCATGTATATGGACTTTCTAATGTACTCTTTTGTACCATTTCAGGTTGTTTTTTTTGCAGAAAGGGATATAAACCCAGGAGAGGAGATTACTTATGATTACCACTTCAACAATGAGGACGAGGGTAAAAAAATTCCATGTTTTTGTAATTCCAAAAATTGTCGGCGATTTTTGAATTAGACTATGTTGGCCTTCCTTATTCCCCTCAATTTTGCCTCTTTACTTTTGTCTCCTCGATTTTGTCTCTTTACTTTTTCTTCTCTTGCCTGCTCTTTTTGCATTTTTGGCAGCTGCATTGTGATGCCTGCAACCTTTTTGTAATTATTCCTGCCTTCAATTTATTGAAATTAATAGCATTTTGCACCTTGTGTTTATACTTCTGTAAGTTTGATCTTTCTAATTTATTGAGATCCATTATACTGGTTGATTGTTATTGAGAAGATGATATCAATGTCCATTTAAATTTTGAGATTGCAAGGACTGGCTTGATCAGCTGGAATGTCGTATATTGGTTTAGGGCATTAGACTCCAGCACCTAACAAATTCACTGCTTTAAAGAAATCAAGTTTTCTTTGTTTTTTTGCCAAGTATTGCCGAGCATGCACCTGAACAAACTCACTGCTTTAAAGAAATTGAGTTGCCTTGGTCATTGCCACAAAAGAGTGATGCTCTAAACTTATTGCATATGTCAATGTGAATCATAACACGAATAAAGTTGTACTCATCGATAAACAGGTACATGAGTATTGCATGGAAAAGATTGAATCTGTTGTACGTTTCCCTATTGACAGGACAATGGTGACCAGACATTGCTGACATTGTTAAAATGTTTTGAAAATTAGGACTTGATTCAGATTGCCTGCTTGGTGATATGGTTAAGATTTGAATGGAATTTATCCTTCTGTATTTTGCTTGGTTCTGCTTTTCATGGAAGCGCCACTATCTAATAGCCAAACAACAAACAACAGTACTTTATCCGAAGCGCAGGATGAGAACAGGAAAAGCAATTTAACCAAAGGATTCCAAAGTATGATTGAATCTGTTAAAGGTTTCATTATTGACAGGACAATGGTGACCAGACACTGCTAACATTGTTAAAAATGTTTTGAAAATTAGGACGTGATTGAGATTGCCTCTTCGGTGACATGGTTAAGATTTCAATGGAATTTATCCTTTGTATTTTGCTTGGTTCTGCTTTCATGGAAGCGCCACTATCTAATAGCCAAACAACAGTACTTTCTCCGAATCAAAGGATGAGAATAGGAAAAGCAATTTAACTAAAGGATTCCAAAGTATGCTTTTCATAAAGTAGTAGATGAGTTACTTGTGAAGTTGCCCTTCTAAGAAAACTAGATTTTTGGAAGAATTACAATAAGAAACCGGTTTAAGAGTAGGATTCCAAAGTACGCTTTTTTTTCAGCAAAATAGTAAAAGACTCATAACTTATGAAGTCGCACTCTCTGTATTAGGGAAGTGGTCAGTTTCGATGACTGTCATGTGCTTATGAGAAAACCAAACCATTTTATCGAATCTCTTTTTACCTATCCCAATTAGAGCAACAAAAGTTACAACCATGCAACTTCAGATTCATATGCAAAAAAACACTATGGGAGAGCATGCAATCCTGTGCACTAATGATATGTTCTAGGAAGAAATCCAAAACTGAGTTGCAATTACAATTTTATAGCAGAACATATTCATTCATTAAAATTTTATAGCAGAAAATGTATTTCTTTATTCTTGGCTTTCTTCTTGGCTTTCTGATTAGGAAAAAATAGGAATACAAAAGAAACTACTGGGGATTTCTAATACTTGCATCTTTGATCATCATAAAATAAAACCACAGAAACACAATATCTTGTATTCTATCTTGTCTTGAATCTTTTTGCTGCATAAAACATATTTCATTGCTTTTTGAAAACCAAAAAAAACAGTCATAAGGTACATAGTGATATCAAAAACTGGGACCATAAACATGTTTGATTATTATACATAGAAAGAAAACTCAAAAAGAAAGTTGTTTGAAACTGAAGCCTTCCATATGATCTAATTCAATTCAATAGGAAAATTGAAGGCTATTAGAATTTAAGTTCAAAAAGTTAGGCAGACACTCCCCAGTTAGGAATATTTGCTGTTGCTTCATTCACCATTTTCACTAGGGTCACCTGCAATCATAAAATGCTCAGTACGGTAAAACTAGCTGTATCATTTGTGAGTTTGCTCTTGCATGGAGAGCAAACAAGAATTAACTTCTTTCTGAAAAAATACATACTGACTAAACCTACCCAAACAAAAAGAAAGACTTAACTACCTAAGCCCTAGTGAGTATTCATCTAACATCACCACGCAGAGCATATCCACTCCCTCCCCCCCCCAAAAAACAAAACGACAACCAAAAACCACAAAAATGAAATAAAATAAAAAAAAACCCTTAGATTAGATGAGATTAGACCACATAAGCACTCCACACCAAAAAAATGCACCTATTCCATGTGGGAGACTTCAAATGTATAAAGAACTTATCAAGAACTCGCATCAAAGAAAAAACAGAAAATGTCTGTAAATGCCATGACATCCTGCACCTTAAAAGCTCCATGTCAATCCGACTTAATGACCTAATATCCAAATTTTCATTTCAAATAAGAATCATCACTAAAATGATCAAGTCATTCAAGATTCATTCAGCTACTGGCCAAATCCTCGTTTACCAAATGAGACTTTCAATACCGTGATGATTTCCAGTCTAAAGATTAAGTAATGCATGTAATCCGTTATGATGAGCGATTACACATAAAGAAAATTACTCACGAGCCAAATTATTCGGATATCCTTGATCTAAATTCAAAAGATCACACATAATTATGAGTTCCACACTAGAGATGCATAATAATGAACGCAGTTTCAATAAATCAAATCTTTGCACTCGGGAGCAACTCACATAGCAAATGGCCAAAACAGATCCACATCTACTATACAACTAGAACATACATAAGGACACACGATCCCATCCCCAGTGTAGAAGTATCCCCAGTGTAGAAGTATGAATTACTCTGAGCATATATGTCCACAAACAAACTATACATGGCATACGGAAAGCACATGATAGTCCAACGCAATACATTACATGATAAGGTTAGATCCACCATCTCTTCCCAGTGATGGATGGTTGGATATTGATTGTATCCCTGGTGAATATCCTTGGAGGTCTCCCACAAGTTAATCTTCAACCAATGGTTGGAACAAACAGAGCACATATTTTGGGGTTACCATATATATTGGTGCATTGGACAATGGTATACTTTCCCTACTACATACACTTTTTTTGTCCATTTTTCCAAAGGATTCCTTCACAAATTAGCAAGATTGACTGGTGAAGTAATAACCTTACTTTGTTGCAAGATAACTTACATTTATACATGTCACTACAGAGTATGCTCAAGCGAGCAAAGGCACCTCTAGAACTTCATACATTTAACCAAGGGCAAAATCAAGACTCCAAAGAGATGGTATGTAAGCAATTTATCTGATTGTGCTCAAAGCAAAATTCTTAAGGCTTGGAATTTAATTTGAACAAGTCCACTTGGTTGGATGAGGTCGAACCACAACAATAACAATTGGAGAAAAAAAAACCATAAATATAAAACCACACTGGAACCTTTTGTTGATTTTCCAAGGGTGTTACTCTTTCGAGGAAGAAGTGCAAACCAATCCCTAGATTATAGGATTGTAAAAGGTGCACTAAGATTTAAACAAAGAGAAATTTGAAACAGAGCATCATCTAGCATATGACTGCATAGTATTGTTCTTAGCAATTTGTTCAACATCATCCTAACCTAAACATGGAGGTGATGATCTCAAAGTTAATTAATTTATCCTAGTGAAACAATTTACATGGAGGTGATGATGTCAAAGTTAATTACTTTATCCTAGTGAAACAATTTAGACCTTTTAAATATTAAAACAAGAAAACCCAAAGAAAAATGAAATGTAAGCAAATTATAAAAGTTATATATCAAACCACATAACTACAATATTGAGAGGTTGTTTCATCCTCTCCACATCAAAAAAGTGGCAAATATGCTCCAAACTAAAAGTGGGATCATAAAAATTGGACAAGAGATGCATACCACACTTTCAGGAACTCCAGGTGGTGGCAGTGTTAGGTTTCTTGGAGGTGGTTTATTCTCATATGATCTTTTGTCAAACCTCCACTCCCCAATCTTTCCATATGTTAAGTGACCCTGAATGTCACCACAAAGACACAAAAATTAGAGAAGTAACGGTACAATCGTAAATACTAACTTGCGAAAGGCACCTAAAAAAAAGAAAATATTTGTAACAAAATGGCTACTAACTAATAGTACTTAATAGGAAGAAATAAAAAATAAAAAGAAGTAAAAAGCAGTGCATTGATAGGCACTTTAAACAAAGTATGCATACCCAATACCAATATACAGTAAAACAACTAGAAACACTCAAATATACAATCCAAAAGTAGGCGTTCGGTTAGAGATGGAGTTACGTTCATATCATAGTCACACCCATATGTATAATGTATAATGAACTTCTTGCTAACTTCTTTGTCCCAAGGAGGCTGATATCACAAAGACAAATATGACAATTAGTTGGGCCTAAAGGTGCACTAGAAAAACAAGAAAGATGGAAGAAAGAAACTGTTATTACCTGAATCATGAAATCCTTGTAAAGGATATTACCCACATCATGCAAGGCAGATGCAACAGCATAAGCATACCTGTGATTTTCCCAAATACATTAAAGAAAATCCAAATCACATGCATAATCAGGAGTATCATTCAAGTATTTAAAGCCTCACATCTCAAGAACCCATCCAAAGGCTTTATCAGCTTCTGTATCCTTCTTCATCGCCAAGGAAACATTCATCCATGTTGGAGCAATCTTCTTAAGAGATGCCTGATGTCATTGCACAGTGATGCTTCAAACTCCAGAAATATTGAAACTTCAATATCCAAAGTAGCTTAAGAAAAAATATTTAAGGCACCTTTTCTATAATAACAGGGGAATTCCCTATAGGATCGATATTTGTGATGGGGCCTTTGTCTTCAGGGAAGAACTTCCTCAACACAGTTTCGTATTTCTTTGGCTCTATATAAAAGAAAGGAAATGCAGCTGCAAGCCCATCTCTTGAAAGATTGGGTATAGGTTTGACAATTACATGGTCTGGCTCTGACATTAGTATGTAGCTGTGCAGAAGTATACAGCTAGTTAGTTCTAGGCATCCTCATCCTTATATATATGTATACACATATATGTTGCTTTCTCAATGTTTGAAGCACTCCTACTTTATGACAAGAAATTTGAATTAAGGATCAAGTTATTCTCACTCTTCTTTGATGTCTGCCTTCTGAAGCCATTGAACAAATGCCCATGGTCTATTAAGAACTATATATCCCTGTATTCAAATAACAGATTGGACGTTACAGTTTCCTTTTGATGGTAACTTAAATTCACAAACAAATAAAAAATAGAACCTGATCCAATAGTTCAGTTCCAGTTAAGAAAAAGTAAAAAGGAAATTAAAAAGACAAAGAAAATCTCGATGCCCCACCTGCACCATTATATCAGGCCCTGCTACAAGACCAGCAACTTAAAAGTTTATTTTACAAGTACCCAATAAACGATTAGAAGTTCAGATTGACATTTCAAAGCGAACACTTGATGTGAGGTCACAGTATTATCTCACCAAATCACATATCAGACAATTCAAGCCCTAAATGCTCTGTGCAGAAACCACAGCAACATAAAAATAGAACTCATGGAATAGCCTCAGAATCTTAATCACTCATTAACAAATAGAATCAGAACAGTAAACAAGAAATAGGAAAATGGGAAGGTATATCTACATCTACAATGAAGCAGAGCCTATAATATATTCAAAATCCCACAAATAGATTCACTATTATTGAATGTTTGAAACCAACAGAAGTTCCTAAACAAATTTCAAACTATGCAACACTCAATGCACAATGAACACAGGATAGTAAATTCTCAGATCAATTGAATTGCATAACACAAACCCAGACAATTTGACAGCCCAAATAGACAGGTCTCATCAATGAATTAATCAAGTTCTCCGAGCAATTCTCGCTTGTGGAAATTATAGAAACCTGCACTTATCTTTTGGTACAATATTTTCCTTCCTTTTATGTGTATCCATATTAGGACAGTGGTTCATTGCATATGTTTCTTTTTTTTGCAGCACCTTGTTTAAAATAATACAATTTTCCAGGATTCATGGAATAAAACATAGAAAAAAAAGTAGACTATTTCTCTAGGATCACTTACAGTAAATGTTATACTCTTTCAGAATGAAAATTGTAGACAGAAGTAGAAGTATATTTGTAAATGCTATACTCTCTCATAAAGAAAATTGTAGACGTGAAGTATATTTGAGAATCATACACATCCGAGTTACCATGTTTGAGAGTCATAAAACAGAACAAAATACAGCTCATTGTAGCCATCAGATAGAAATCTGCTATGAGAGATGTAATACACAAAATCAGATGAAATTCCCTGCGGCCTTAACCATCTCGGCCAAAGAGTGTGATATGTCCTTGCATAGTTGATCAGGGTCTGTAATCCTTGACTCATCCACTGAAAGGACAAGCTTCACTTTGTCCTTGTAACTTTGGAAGTGAACGGTCAGTGCATGTTGTGTTCCTGTGTCATACCCATATGCCCACCAGCCGGGTCACAAACTTCCCCACATAGTGGGTAAATTTGGGCTCCCATGATGTCTTCTTTCGGTCCATTATCTCCTTTGTAAGGAGAATGTATGCCAAAGGATCTTCCGGGTTTTTCAAGAGAATGGGGAGTATAGTGTATCCAAGTAGATTTCCACTTGAAGTTGAACCCTGCGAATCAGATTGAGCAACACATATGCACGAACATGAGAATTTTCATTCAAATATGGACCATGCTGCATAAATATTTAGCTGGCCCAGCAGACATCATACCAAACATGACGTCATTTACAGTCCCATGCACTGCTGATTTTACCATCCGCATATCCTCCAAGCTAAGGGTGCAGTGGATGATTCTTTTGGAGGCGTTCCCTACCCCTTGAATGTCCTTCACTTCAATGATGGTGTCCTTCCATAGAAGACTTGTAGGGATTAACATAACAACGTCAATCACTGTCTGCCATACCGAGATCAAGAATGCCCATAAAGTCCCAAGAGTGTTGATTTGTCGTTTCAGTACAAGACATAAACAGCGAGATGAGAGACGCACCATCACCCAGTGAATGGTGTGCCTTGAACACTAAAAGGGATTTTGCCTCTTTTGTCGCTACATTCAATACATATACCTCCCACAAAAGCTTGGACCTCTCCAGAGCTACGGAAGTGATTTTTGTAAGGCACCTCTCATCAAAAGACTTACCAGTCTCCTCTTCATCTTGAACTAGATCACCAATGTTCCACTTTATGTGTTGCTTGATGTCCACTTCCTCAGGAACCCACGAATGTTCACCCTTTTTTATGAGAGCACCGTCTTCAACCGGTATGCAACAAAATATTTCATTCTCGAGCAACGGGTCGAGAGCACGTTCAAGTTCTTGGCTATGCAATGGCATGCCCAGCCCAATGATAGCCACAATGTGGTTGTCAAAGCTTCTGTCCAGGAAGAGATTAGCCGTTGGGGAGCATGGCTTCTTCTCTAGTCTGGACTTAGCCGCTGGGGTGCATGGCGTCTGAGCCACTGGGGTGCGTGGCGTTTGAGCCACTGGGGTGCGTGGCATATGAGGCACTGAAGTGCATGGCGATGGCGCCTTCCTTCGTCTGGACTTAGCCCCTGGGTTGCATGGCGTCTCTATTTTAATTGAAAAATTGAAGTGTGAAAACTCAGATGAAATTATTATACTTGTATCTGTATTGGAGCTTCATCACTTGGTTCAGGCATTCATGTATTTTGAGGAAATTATATATAAATGCCTAAACCAAGTGAAGAAGATCCAATACAAATACAGAAGATACAGATACAAGTATAATAATTTCATCTGAATTTACACACTTCAATTTTTCAATTAAAATGGAGACACATGCAATCCAGGGGCTAAGTCAAAATGAAGGAAGACGCCATCGCCATGCACCCCAGTGGCTCAGATGCCAAGCATCCTAGCGGCTAAGTCCAGACTAGAGAAGAAGCCATGCTCCCCAACGGCTAATCTCTTCTTGGACAGAAGCTTTAACAACCACATTAGGCTGGGCATGAAGAGATAAGGCGTTGGGGACATTAGCTTCTTCTGTAGGGTTTAACGAAAATAACATATGCAATGAACCACTTTCCTAATATATATACACATAAAAGGAAGGAAAATATTGTACCAAAAAATAAGTGCAAGTTTCTATAATTTCCACGCTCCCCCTCAAACTCAAGATGCATTAGGAGAGAGCAAATTGAGTTTGGACAACTGAAGGCAGACCTTAAAAACAAAGCAGGAACAGAAGAAGCTTGAACAATTGTAAATTAGCGATCATCAGAAACCGACGCCTCGAGCAAAGCAATCTCGCATAAGAACAAATCAACAGGCCTCTAGAACAAACAGGATTGAGTAACGAAAAAAACTCAATCATCACACAGGATGGAGTAACAGAAAACTCCATCATCCAATAGGATTGAGTAACGAAAAACTCAATCATTAAACATGATCAAGTAACAGAAAACTTAATCATCAACCAGGATCGAGAAATCCGATTATCAAACAGGAGGCACTTGGAAGAGCGAATAGAAATCAGCGGCGGATCAACAAGCACAGTTGGACCTTAGATTCAAAGTTGAAAATAGTAAGATCCAAAACAAATCAGAGAGTTGAAACACGACTCGATAGTTGTTTTGCAGATGGTGCAAATTGGTCACTTTCAGAGGTCATTTTCAAAGGTGGATTTATAGGCAGGTTTCAGATTCGGCTCTCCTCAGGTGGTATAAGGAAATAGTATGGTCCTTCAAGGTTTATATAAATAAAGGAAAAGCTTTTCACAAAAAGTCTACTTTTGTAGATGCAAAAACAAGGAAACCACTTGGACGGTGCAATAGAGAGAGAAGGGGCACTGAGAGAGAAAAAAGAAAGTCGGCGGAAGCAAGAGAGTGGCTGAGGTAATGAGAGAGTTGGTTTGAAGAGAGAGTCGCTAGAGATAACCCCAAATCCTGAAACCCAAGACCCAAAAACGAGATTGTGAGAGCAATGACTGCAATTGCTCTGATGTGAGTGTCACGGTGGTTGAGCCAATGCTAGCAAAAGATTCTAATTTATCCATTCCAACAGGTAAAAGGACTATCACATATTCACCTTATGCGACTAGAACCGGTTTTGGTTGGACAGGAAACAACATGAAGTACTTGGGTGAACACTAGAGACAAGAAACCCTTTTTTTTTTGTTGGAGAGAAATCGGTTTGTCACAAGTACGCAACGGTGCACCGTCACTTATGCAAAGAGGTTCATTGCATATATTATTTTCTTTAATAGTACACAGCTTTGTAACCCTATAAATTGGGGCACTTGTTCACATTTTCGATAAGATTTGAAGTACATCTTCCATAGGGGCTTAAGGCCCAAATATACAGAAATACAATATTTCTCTACATGGTATATGAGCAAAGTTAATCCTGCAATACCACCTTGAAATTAAAATTTAAATTCCACTCAGCACCGCCTACAATACAGTCCTACAAAGCCATTGTGCAAAAACAACCTACCACCCATCTTCCAACGAAACCATCTACCATCTCAGAAAACCACCTGCCCTCAAAAAACCACCATGCCATATAAAAAAAACCACCATCCAAAGAACACCTTACCATCTCAGAAAATCACCCACCATCTTAGAAAACCGCCATCTGAAAAATACCTGGCATCTCAAAACACCGCCATACGAAAAACACCCAACCGTATCATAAAACCACCTGCCATCTCAAAAAACTGTTAAACACCCGTCCATGTCATAAAACCGCCCACCATTTGAAACCGCTCATCAAAAATTTTATAAATCAGTCCTTCATAGGTAAACCGCCCATTAAAATCCCATTTGAAATCAGTTTAAAAAAAAAAAGATCCGATTTCGTCACTTTTCTAGTTGGCTACTAAAGATCTGCTGCCAAATTTGAGGTCATTCTAAGTCAACCATCACATATAAATTAGTCCATCTCGTGGGTCTTTTCTTGTTTTTCCAGATCAGTTGTGTCTTTGCAATTTTTGGTATGCTTATTTGGCCACTTTCCCTTTGCGCCTCTCTCACTTTCCTTTATCTCTCGGGCCTTTCTCACTTTCCTTTATCTCTCGGGCTTTTCTTTTTACACTGTCTAAATAATATACCTTTTTTACACTGTCTAAACAATATACCTTTCTTTCTATGTGTACCCATATTAGGAAAGTGGTTCATTGCATATGTTATTTTGGTTAATCACCTGCACCTCCAAACACAACCACCCTCGTCCCACCCATCGAAACTCCCTTTCCGGAAGCACCAGGAACAAACCCGAAGCCTCCCCGACTCCCGCCGATACTACGACCTCATCACAGCAACCACAAACCCACAATCATCCTAAGCCCTCCACCCCATCTCTCCCCCACTACTCTGCTAAATGCAGCGGCAGACATCAATGACCTTAAGAAGCACCAAAACGAGGACGAAGACAAAGCGGTCGAAGAGGGAGAGGTGGGAGAAGACGATTTGTCCTTGGAGTTGGAAGAGTTGGGCCAAAGTGGTGGTGGTGGTGGCGGCGCCACCGCCTCGGCTTTTGAGGAGAGTTATGTTGGGGATTTTCCTTGGCTTAGCTGATGATGCCATCTAGGGTTCCATTGAAAGAGGAAGAGGAAGAGATGCGCGTTTATTATTGTTTCGGATCCTTTTTGTCCATTCAAGACTCGAAGGCATCTCTTCTCCACCGATGAAAAGAAAGCTTACACTAAAAACAGAGTATATTCACATCTCACCCATCAGAAACCAGAGAAACAAGTCTGTACACAGCTCAGTCTTCTCTGTTTTCTTTTTCTTTTCCTTTTCTCTCTCATCCATCCATGAGACAGTAATAATAAAACCAGAGGATGGTTAATTTTAAAAAATAAAAAATAAAACCACTTTTCTAATATCGGTACACATAAAAGTAAGGAGAATATTGTACCAAAAAATAAGTACAGGTTTCTATAATTTCCACATCGTTTACATTAAAGCAAAGCTAGAATGTCTGGAAACTTAAACGTAAATTGCTGAACAAAAATTAGGGAAACCCAATCACACAAAGAAAGAGAGAGAGAGAGAAAGAGAGAGAGAGGAGAAAGAGAGACTATTCTCAAATCAATCAAATTTCACACACAAATCTCATGGTATTCAACTCCCAACTGAAGAAATTAAAAGACTGCCATTATTCGCAGCCTCAAAATGGACAAAATTTCCCCGGAATCTGAGAAAAAAATGCAAACAAATTTAGCAGAAAAAGACAAATGCCCAGATCCCCAACCCAAAATCTCTCTCTCTCTCTAATGTAACAGAAGTACCTGATCAGAGCCAGCAGGAAGTGGGTCAGCAACGAAAGTGGGTATCTCGTCCATGTAAGCATCAGGCTTCCCAGAGTGAAGCACCCTAGTAAATCCACCCATCTCAGAGCCCTCCATGTCCTTGAATTTCTTGAACCAGTAATACATAATCCTACACTGCCAAGTGTTATAGACACTGTCTGATGCAGTCACGGCAGTGTGGAATAGTCTCTTTTTGTTCCTCTCTCCTCCATTTCTAAAGCGAGTATCAACAGGCATTCTGATCAATGGGTCAATTGAAGTTGAAGACGGAGAGGTTCCAGGTAGCTCTTGGTTGAGAGAAGCATTTGCAGAGACTATGATGTTGTAAGTTATGATTGCAGTAGAGAGAGTGAGGATGAGAGACCAGAAGAGGCTCTCACAACTCCCCATTTTCTTCCTTTCTCTCTCTCAACCTGAGGAGTGAGACAAAGGATATATTTATTTGGGGTCTGGGTTTGGGTCTCTGGGCTGGGGTTGCACCTCTCTCTCTCCTCTCTCTTGGGGTGTGAAGAACATGGGAAAAATAGCAGCCCCTCTCCCATTGATTGGAATTATTGTACTTGTTACATGGACTTTCATGGAGAGAAGACTTTTCTGCTTCTGTTATTATTTTTTTATTTTTTATTTTTTATTTTTTGGGGTAAGTCGGTGGGGTTGAAAGCCATACATTGAGAAATAAAGTATTATTCTTGTCTACCAACTTCTGTTTTCTTCTGTTCACCTAGAATGGAGCCATTGAATCCTGATCTCCCTCATTTAATATGGACAATTTCTCCTCTCTCTCTCTCTATATGGAGTCTTTTCTCTCATTTCATACAATGAACAATTTATCTCTCTCTTGGAGTTTTTGAATGAGGATCTTAATCTGTCTCTCATTTCATCAAGGGTGTGGTTTTTATAAGGTTGTACCTTCAAATTAAGGCGCACTTTCAAATTTTATAGTAAAGTGTAATTTTGATGTAAAGCATTTTTAGAATTATAGCAAAATTTATTTTTATATCTAATTATAAAATTTTAAATTAAAAAAATGATTAAAGTCAAATAGATCTATAAACATATGAAAATCTCGAAAATAGACGGCCTAGATAATATGCTGCAAAATGAATTATTTCTAAGACTCAAAATCTTTTTTTCTTTTTTCATATTCATACATCTTGTTGTCGAGATGATCAATTACAAGGTTTTTCAACATTATAACAACCTTTTCCGATAGATTTTTGAGGTGCATCTATAATTCTACATTTTAAAATTGCAACCTTATATAAACTTTTTCCTTTCAATGAATGGATTATTTCTCCTCTCTCTTTCGGCCTACCTGGTCAAAATATCCCAATCTTAAATGACCATAATAAACCCAAGCTCATTCATTCTTGTACATTTTTTCTGATCTCAAAATATACAAACAAGGGAAACACAAACCTTGGTTGTTGAACTTGAGAAGCTCAAAATATAAAACAATATGTTTTTTTATCTTAAAATAAAGTTACAATACTCGACACAACTTATTTTATTTAGATGGAATAGATTTAATACATCTTCTCAAGGGAGAAAGAGCAAGCAAACACACCAAACATCCAAAATATATATGAATTTCAGTTCCCTAAAATAGAAATTTACTCTTTACCCACCCTAAAAATGCTCATGACATTCCAAATCATTTCCATTTCATATGTTGCTTGCCTCTAAGTGATAATAAATATGTTATAAGATCTGATCAAAAAAAAAATATTGTTATAAGATAAATTATTTTATTTTATCTATATTACTAATTCTCTCTTATTTATTTTTATTATATTGCACTAAGTTCCATTGAAATAAAATCAATTTATCAGGATATGTAATATGTTACGTGATAAAATACTCGTCTGATGAAAACCTAAATGTGTTCTGAAGCGAAATTAGCCATTTGAATTTGAAAAGAAATATGTGACCTACTTATAGACAACTCCAAAATATCAATTGGGCAAATGAGGATCGGTTTGCAAGAAATTGATAGTGCAGACCTGTTAGAAATTACTGTCACCTTTGATATATTTACATTTTATATTGTGTGTAATTTGAAATAAAAATTAGTCTAAAATGAGGAATGGACTCAAGGCTAGGCAGTTAGGGTGGTGGGGCACCACAACGTCGAATTTGATTCCAACTATTGGTGGGTATTCTTTTCCCTACTCAATTGCCTAAAAAAAAAAAGAAGAAGAAGAAGAAGAAAAAAAAAGAAAGAGAAGGGGGGGGGGGGACCCTTTCCCCACTAAATTAGTTTTTTTTAAAAAATCCTCTCAACTATAATGTCATTTCATTTAAAACATATGCTAATAATTTAAGGGAAAAACTACTTATATTTCTCCACCCATTTGTATTTTCTTATCTCCCTCATATCACAGCCGTCTGAGCTGAATGGACGGTTGAAATGACCTCAATCTCAATGTCATGACTATATATTGTTTTATTTCAAAAAAATTTATGTAAAATATTTTGTCACCAAATTAGGGGGTGCTCATTCCTCTCTTAACCTTGCACCTTCAAAAAATATAAAAAATATATTTTAAAAAATAAAATAACTAAATTACCCTTGGAAGTTATATGAGTATTTTGGTATTTTATTTTTAAAAATAATTTAAATATTTTTTTTAAGTGCACATTATTAAGATGATGATATTAATCAAATTTTATCTTCATATGATTTATAAAATAAAAATAAAATACTTTGAGATGTCATATTTATATCAAATAGTTGGGAGTTCACTTGTGACATTATGGCCAAAGTCATCCCAGCTATCAATTTAGAACAAACAGCTAGGAGATGGGAGATGTACAATAAATATGTATATATGGATGGGAAAGTATAGTAAGTTTTCCTATAATTTAATCATACTTGTACAGCGTAAAATCCCACTAGGTAGTGCTCTTTCGTGAGTTTAATGGTATGTATGATGAGCATTTTGTTGAAGATTGTCAAGGAGGTTCTTGGGTTACCATCATGCCATTAAGGAAAATGTTCTTATAGAGCTTCAGTATTATCAAAATAAGTAAAGTCTCACCTCAAAACTCACTTAAAACTGACATCAGAAAATCTTCAAATCGATCATTTTGGCTTTCGATTATTATGGTTGTGAAAAAATAAAAGTTATGATTTTAAGCCCTATAAATATGTTTATTATAACACATTATCTAGACCATCATTTTGCCCTAAAAAAAAGTTTTTGCAAATCAACAAGATTTATACAATTTTTTGAACTTCAATTCCATAGTCGATATTGAAAATTGGTTTTAGAGCCATCATGAAGATTTTTAGTACCCAAAGTTCTTTTTGGACTATGACTTGAGGTGAGGTTATGTTTTATTTTCATAAAGCCTCTGCCTTATAAATACCGCATCCTAGTATTAATGGCCATGTTAGAAGTCTTATAAACTCTTGGAATTAAATGGATATGTATCCATTAATATCCTTCATTTTTACAAGAATCCAATATTAAAAAGGAGTCACATGTAGAAAAATGGCAAACTCATGGCATCCTATGCAATGGTGGTAGTGGGACCATAGAAGTACGTAAATGAAAAAAATTCTTAAAATGGAAAAAAATAAAAATACAATAGTTAAAAATTAGATACAAACCTGGTGATTTGGCCTGGTTTACTAACAAAACTTGTTAGTTCTCGATATATTGGGGGAACTTGAGCCATTCCCCTGATTCCCTATACAGATCAATCTTTCCGACCCAAATAAGTGTTTTCTAAAACCTTGATGCCACCTATAGCCACTTGTTTTGAGCCATGTCTCAGTCCACGGACAACAAGCATTGAGGTCCCATGATGCCCCATATCTTAAATTTCCTAAGCCCTCACTTTGAACCACTGTACTTATAGTCCATGTAGTCCATTGTGTAGCATTGCATCCATGTTCTACTCCATTGTGGCAAGCCACCACCATTATGCTTTCAGCCCATCTAGATCATCTTGTTTAAGACTCATAGAGGCATTGGGTCTATAATTACGGCGTTTTTTTTATAGCTTCCTAGCATTGTAGCACAAAGAGATTGATCCATGTGCCATCGAGAGGTGTGATCCGGTACATGTGGTGTACGAAGTCCCATTAAGGTAATCCTAGGGCAACTGTTCTCAATTTGCTTCCCATGGTTCTATAGTCCATTTGTTTTGGTTTTTATGTTCATGAGATTGCACATGAGTCCATGTATCAAAATTGCAATGAAGTGTTGTGGAATGTATTAATGTAATCTCTATGTTGGAATTGGATTGTGTACATTGTCTTGTCTTGTTAATGATGTGTTGGAATTGGATTGTGTACATTGCCTTGTTAATACAATATCATTTTGTTCAATGATGTGAATTGTGTCTTGGTACATGCAAGTGGGAGTCCTTGGCTCTTAATTGAGTTGTATTTCTTCTTGTTATGAGCTTTGAATGTCCCATGTACTGCTTAACTTTGTAAAAAGGCACATGTAAATAGGTTTTGTCAAATTGCGCATTGAAATTTTAAGATCTACTACATGTGTACATAACATATGGCTCACCTTTCAAAAATGACACTCAAAACTTCACTCCACAATCGATTAATTTGAATGTGGTTTTCTAAATATCTAAGAGATTTTCATCTACATTCTTTTTAAAAATGTAGATTCAATTTCGTTTTCTGTCAAACATGGCCTAAAGATGTCAATCAATTTTTATCAAAAATGTTTTTGCTTGGTGTATCTTTAAGATATATGTAACTTTTAAAGAGAATTTATCAAATCTCACTTGGATATTAACTAGGAAAATTATCAAAAATATCATTTTTTAAGGTTATTATTAAAAAAACCCAAATATTCTAAAAGCTCATTCATCATACCCATTTTCATCATTGTTTATAATTTTGTGACCAATATACCCTTCATAGTAGTATTAGGTCCTTGAAGGTCATCACCGTTAACTCATAATAGTGATGATCATAGATGGCGGGGACAAACTTTTTAACCATCATAGTTGTAAGAGAACAGTGATGGCTTTGCCACCATTGAACCATCACGATTCTGCTTGAACTGTGATGTGCTAAATGTACTAAAACCATCACAATAGTCTTTGGGCCGTGATAGAGTATCACAGTTGTGCTAGTACCTTGATGCTGCACTTAACAATCATGGTTGAGTTAGAACCGTGACGGTTGTGCTAGTACTCTCTGTGAACCACGGTTCGCTTAGAACCATTAAGGTCTTGATCATTCTCTTATACCTTTAAGAAAATATGATTGATTTCTAAAAATGTTCCCACATAAGGGGCCACACATAAGGTAATTACGCTCAAGATGATAAGAAAAATGCCGCCGCATGAGATGCATCCATCATGGTTGAGCTACGACTGTGGTGCCTTCAATGATAATTCACTTAGAACCGTGAAGATCCCTAAGAGGCATCACGATTGTGCTACTACCATGATGCTTTCTAAGTTGTCTATCTTCACTTAAGAATAACAGTTATGCAAATATGTAAAAATACCCCCTATAAACTATTTAAAATCATCATTGTTTTGACTCAATCATGA